GCTTCTTCCCTTTATCGTTAATGATGGCAGTCATTCTTCAGTATCGCTTATGCAATAGGGGCACATCGCCCGTCCAAAACTTATCATCTCCATAATGAATATATGTCCGACCTTCTAATTTCCTTTGCTGCATAATGTACATTGCATTTATTCTGGCGTTAGGTTAATGTACCTTGAAGGAGAATAGCACTTAAATAAAAGTCCAACAAGGATATTCATTTAGAATTAAAAATAACTCGCCCTGAATTACCATGATAGATATAATGTATGTAATATTCAATCAAACTGCTCCTGTCCAATAAAAGTGTGTCATTAATAAAGGGGATAAAACTCAATTCAGTCATTAAGTAAGTTTAGAGTCTGGTTTGCAGAGTATGCAGCTAAATTTGTTTCACAATTATTCAATGGAAAAAAAAAAAAAAAAAAACAAACCCCCGTTAAGTAAATTGTTATCAAAACATTTGTAATTGTAATCATTTATTTTTTGAAACTAAAAGTTTTGTTTAAAAAAACTTCTTTTTAAATTAAATATCTCATTTTTTTTCTCAGGAACACACGTCAGGAATCTTTTGTTGCGATGTTTAGGTCCTGCCCCCCATGTGAGAATCGCAAGCAAAACTTTGAATCACAAACAAAAACTTTGAATAGCAAGAAAAGATTTGTGACATGTGCAAAAATGTTTTTTACTAATAATTTTTTTCACTTCATGAGACAAAAATTTGTGATTTTAATTTAAATAAAAGTGTTTTAAGCCAAACTTTTTTTTTGTTTAAAAAAAATACAATTAAAAATGTTTTGATCACAATTTTATTTAATTGAGGTTAGTTTTTTATAGAATAATTGTGAAACAAATTGAATCCCAAAGCAGAGGTCTCATTTTCTCTGAAATTAATATTATGTTGTGCAACGAAATGAAAAACATATTGGTTTAAACACAAGGGTAAATAATTGGTAGTGTGGTTTAATATAGTGTTCTGATCATAATTCATTATATTTAGCTTTTTTCAGTTCAAAGATGCCACATAAAGACGTCAGAAACAAAAAAGAAAGGACCTGCTACAAGCAGCCAAAGGTGGTGGATTGTAGGGCCGTATAAATAAATTGATTCGGCGATATATATCAATATTTTCCACCCTCGGAAAGTATCGGTTTTTCATCCGCGAGTATCGATCCGTTAAACCATGGGAGTCCATAGCCTTATAGCTCTTTATAAGTCTAGTTTGTTACGGCGCTGTAGCAAGACTCGGCCTCTCAGTCTCACTTTCAACTCGAGCTTAAAGTGCACATTATAAACTACACACCAGTTTTTAAATTGTGTTAATAGGCCAAGTATAACCGGAGTTATGCTAAAATGAGTAAACCATATTTTTCCGAATGTCAGAAAAACCCGCAGCTGGAATCCGCGGCGCAGTGAGGATTTCCATGATAACAATGGCTGATCGATCATTCTTATTAGCAACAAAGTATCAGAGACTGAGAGTACTATGAGATCCTGGCAGTCTGAGAGGCAGTTTACTCAGAGATACAAGCAGGGGAATAGCGGCGCTCCGTAGCTGCAGGGAGTCGATCACTACGGGGTGAGGCAGAGCCTTTAGCAGTTAGAAGAAAGCAGCTAACAGCCACGGCTAACTCCGGGAGCCAAGGTAGAAAAGCCTTTTTCCCCATAGTCCAAAAGACTGCATTTGTGGCTGCATTTTTACTCCAAAATGCAGCCACAGTGTCCAAAAGAAAAAAAATTTGCATATTGAGAGTCTACAGAGGCTGATAATCTTTCCACTCTGCTCCTGGATTACCGTTTAAACTTTTGAGTTTTATGTCAAATCCACATGAATTTAATGACAGAAACTAATTTTCTCATTGCGTCTTTGATTCATTTTGTCCAGCTGCAGACTGACTGTCCAATCAGAGTCAGGTATTGTGTAGTTGGTGCTTTTAATCAGTTTTCAGTCTAAATTCAAGTCTATGGAACACAAAATGTCACTAAAATCACTCTGTCCTTCTAAAATCTTTCAGAAAATCGTAAAAATCCACTGAATCGTAGCAAATTGTATTGCTCAATAAATATTGTGATACGTATCGTATTGTGACCAGAATATCGTATATCGTATTGTGAAATTATTGTATCGCTACACCCCTAGTGGATTGTTGACCAACTGGGTCAGAACGAGGACTGTAGGTAAGAACAAAGAAATAAAGGTTCTTGCCATGATCAACATGCAGTTTTTGGAAGAGAACAATATATTTAATATTACATGGCAGCTGTTATGTTTTTATTATAAAATGTAATAACTCCAGTTGTATATCTCACCATTTGTAATTTATCTTTGTTTATTAAACTCTGAAAGATGTGTGACTTCTTAATATTCTGTCTTAAAATGTGGCTAAATGTGCCCTTTTTGAGCCCCTGCACCTCTGCACGGCCCTGATCATTTATAATTTTAACTCTAGTGAATATTAGTGTTTGATGAAAGTGGAGTCCTACCTGAGCTGCAGAGACACAGAAGCAGCATCAGAGCTGTTTGGTCCATGTTTCCTCTGAATGTGGAGTGAAGCTTCGTCTCTTGATGTGATCAGGATGTGGCTCCAGACTCTGAAGACTTCCTACTTTAAGCTTTTTTATCTGCTACTTTTTTTCTGTCATTTTATTTCAGATTTAGTCTTTGGTCATCAGAGCAGAAAGGCTTCATAGAGGCAGAGAGGGAAATCTAAACTTTAATCTGGATGTTCAGCCTCTGTGTGCTGGCGTGAGCATACTGAGTGATGCTAATCTGGATTGAAGCTTAAGAAACGTTATCAGCTTTGTTGCAACATAACGAGGTTTTTCAAGGTAAATCTAAACTTTAGATCTTCAACTGGAAAAAGTTGTTTATTTCAAAGAACTGGCATATTTTAGGCCCATATAACTCAAAACATATTAGAATATTAAAAACTACCAGCTCCTTTATGTTGCTACAACATGCATTCATATCATAAAACACTGAATGAAGAGACATGAAAATCTAAAATATTAGCTGAACCTCTGCAGCTCTGATCTAAAATTCGAGCCCAGTTCAGCCACATTTTTAAAGAGCAACCAGGTTTTCTGGCATAACTAATTGTTCGCTTGCACTAATTTCATTTTTTATCTTCATAATTTTACTTGGCACATGTTATTTGCATGTTTATCATATTGGGATAGTGTCACAGTTTCCATCTGCTTTTGCTGGCTGCCACCAATAACTGCAGACAATGCAACGATGGAGAGTAGCAGGAGAAAGTAGCAGAGAGAGGAGAAGTGGTCATTTTGTCCTCCAGGAGGATTTCTGGTCCTCTATGGGGCTTCGAAGAACTGGACTGTAGGCAGTTTGGAAGATTCACAAAATGTGCCACCTAGTGGAGGAGTGCATGACTGGCATGAGAGCATTCACAATGGCCATGGGAAGCCAGTGCAGGACCTCCCATGATGGCTACAAGACTGGAGTGGCTCTGAGCTGCGAGGACCACCAATGTCTTTTTCATGTGTATTTCTCTTCTGTTTTGTTTATGTTGCTCTTAAATAAGTACCCAGCAGTTAGAGGTATTTATTTTTTTCCCCCCTTTCTCATTAGATCCTTCCATTTGGTGCCATGCTTGTTTTCATGTTTACATGTTACCTTGCCTGTATGCCGTTTTCTGTTGTAATCACCAGAATTTGTCGAATTCCCTTTGTCCCGCTAAACCTTTGTGAGACTTGTGTTCTCTTGTTTGTGCTTTGGTGCAACATTGCCAAAACACATGTAAGAAAGAAAATCAAGTAACACAAGTATTTCTTGATGTGCACATTTTTAACCTCCTGAAACATGTGAAAGTATTCTTTACTACTACATTTAGAGTAAAAACAAAAATCAAGTTAAGGCTTAAAAAGGAATACAATTAAAATAGTTCTTTTGCAATTGTTTGTTGTGTGTGTAATTACGTCATACACTGTACTGAGAAGTGGGAGGAGGAAACTAAACAGGTTCTATAAAGCAGCGTTTAGTCAGACGGTCAGCAGACCACAGAAGCAGCTCAGCTGCTGTTTTCTCTCTGACGATGGAGGCTTTGAGTGAAGCTGGGCTGTGCTTTCCACAGCTAATCAACACTTCCTGCAGAAGACCCCGGCACTTTCCTTCTGAGAACATTTTGCTTTACATTATGCTGTCCTGCGTGTCTTTACTGACTGTGACTCTCAACTTGCTGGTCATCGTCTCTATCTCCAACTTCAGGCATTATCATAAACTGAAATTGTGAATTACTGTGTATATTGTTTCCTGCTCATTGTGTTGTCATCAGTTGGCTGGGTAGTTAATTTATGCACACAACATTTTGGCCATTCCTCCTTTCTATAGCATTATACATAGTTTTGCTCTAAAAGGGCATTTCATTGAATTGTGGAGTATGTGTATTTGAAATTTATGAAAATATACAATTGTACATTCTGTATCACTTGTTGAAGTTTTTGTGCTGACCTTTGCTTTTCTTTTCTTCCAGGCAGCTCCACACTCCCACCAACCTGTTCCTCCTTTCTCTTGCTGTCTCAGACTTCCTTGTTGGGCTGCTGCTGATGCCCATTAGAATCCTGCTGACTGGAGGCTGCTGGCTTTTGGGAAGCCTCATGTGTGCTCTCTTTAACTACACCTCTTTTCTCCTTACATCTGCCTCAGTAGGAAACATGGTGCTCATATCAGTTGACCGATATATAGCCATCTGTGACCCTTTGAGTTACCATGTTAAAGTGACACAAAGCAGAGTTCAAATCTGTATCTGTCTGTGTTGGGGCTGCTCTGCGTTTTACAATAGTGTGATTATGAAGGACCATTTGAAAGATCCAGACAGATTTAACTCCTGTTATGGGGAGTGTGTACTTTTGATTGATTTTCTAGTAGGAACATTTGATGTCGTACTCACATTTTTTGCTCCTATTACAGTTATTGTAGTTCTGTACATGAGAGTGTTTGTGGTGGCTGTGTCTCAGGCTCGAGCCATGAGGTCTCAAACTGCAGCTGTTAGTATACAAGGCTCAGTTCGCATAACTGCTAANTCTTGAACTTAAAATGTTATTTGTAAAACATTAACTTTTATTTGCACACATCAGGGATGTTTAGGCCCTGCCCCCATGTGAGAATCGCAAGCAAAACTTTGAATCATAAACAAAAACTTTGAATAGCAAGAAAAGATTTGTGACATGTGCAAAAAAAGTTTGTTTTACTAATAATTTTTTGACATCATAAAACAAAAATTTGTAAATAAATGTGTTTTAAGACAAAAAAATGTTTGTTTAAAAAATTGTTGCAATCACAATTTTATTTAATTGAGGTTATTTATTTTTTTATAAAATAATTGTGAAACAAATTGAACCCCAAAGCAGAGGGCTCATTTTCTCTGAAATTAATATTATGTTGTGCTACGAACTGAAAAACATATTGGTTTAAACACAAGGGTAAATAATTGGTAGTGTGGTTTAGTATAGTGTTCTGATCATAATTCATTATATTTAGCTTTTTTCAATTCAAAGATGCCACATAAAGAAAGACGTCAGAAACAAAAATGAAAGAATCTGCTGCAAGCAGCCAAAGGTGGTGGATTGTTGACCAACTGGGTCAGAACGAGGACTGTATGTAAGAACAAAGAAATAAAGGTTCTTACCATGATCAACATGCAGTTTTTGCTAATGAACAATATATTTAATATTACAAAGCAGCTGTTATGTTTTTATTATGTTAAGATGTAATAACTCTAGTTGTATATCTCACTGTGACAGCTGACCCTACTGTCACACAGACCTGAATGGTGATCTTTTTTTTTTTTGCTTATCCTTAACATTAGTTTAGATATTAATTAGTGAATTCGATTTTTATTTTTAAAAATAATTTTCATTAGTCTGACTTTTTAGATAACTATTTGCAGTGCAGACATTTAGTTAACTTCATTTGTCAGTTCTTTATATTTTTGTTAAATGCAATAAATTAATTTATTTGTTTTGAGTTACCAGTTTCCTTTGGAGCTGCTGCTGGAGGATCACAGAAGAGCTCCAGCTAATTGTCGTCCTTATATGGCTGGCAAACCTCCTCAGCAGGTCATTCCATCTGTTTGCCAGGGGACGAGGAAATGTGGTTTTCTTCAATTTAATTTGACCATTTCTTTAATGTTTCTTCTATTTGGTAGTTTCATTCTAATGTTTGTTTACTTTAAAGATTTGGTATTGTATTGATTAGTATTTGTTTAAGTTTTTGTATGTTTAATTACCCGTTGTGTGTCAGCAGTGGTCTGATCAGCCACTGTTTAAGTTCCCCTCATGTCTTGTTTGTTAGGTCAGTTTTGTGCTTGAGTTCTTTGTGTTACCACCTGAGTTGTAGTTTGTTATGCTGACCTCAGTTTTTGGGCCCAATTCTTCATTGTTTAATTATTTTTTAACTTTTTTGTAATAATATTAAGATTATTTTTAGATTCCATTCAGCGTCTCTCTGGCTGGTCAATGTAAGAACCCTCACACTCACCATCTGTAATTTATCATTGTTTATTGTTTATTGAGCACCTGCCCATTTACTGGTCTCTGCACGGCCCTGGATGTTGTTTAACCTGGGGGAAGCCGGGGCACCCGGAGTGAACCCACACTAACACAGAGACATTTCCCACCGTGCAGTCCTTCTTTTTAATATTATAATATCCAATTAACAATAACAGCAGCTCTTTTTCCAGTTCCTGTTGTTTCCAATTCTACAGGAACCTTTCCTGTTACGTCTTCAGATTTTTCAGTGGCTGAAGATGAGTACTGACGTTGTTGAACGTGGGGGAAGCCGGAGCTCCCGAAGTGAACCCACACCTACACGGAGAGACATTTCCCACCGTGCAGTCCTTCTTTTTAATATTAAAATGTCCAATTCCCGTTCCCACAATCAGCCACCCCTTTTAAATCAAATTTACTAGAGATATAAGCTGATGTCTACTCTGGATGGACTTCAGATCTGTCTTTGAACTGGCGGAGACACGATGGTGTTAAAGTCTTTTTGATTTGCCTCCAGAAGAAATCTTTTTCTTGGGCCTCTCTTGTTCATAGTCATTGTTCTGCTCTGCTGACTCTTCAGCTGCTTAAAGTTCAGATTCCTGAGGTGGTGTTTGGATTACATCTTCCATTAATGTAACCTCTGTCTGTGGAGGGGATGGTCTCTGTTTTTCCCTTAGGTCATTCTACCCTTCTGTGGAAACTGTTTCTGTTCGATTGCTGCCTGTGGTTTACTGATAATTGTGTCATTTGAATGAATCTCATTTTTAATGTTAGCTGTTGGATCTCCAACTATTTCTGGTACTGAAATCTCTTGTTCACTATATGCTACAGAAACATTTTCTTGACTGAGGGTTTCCAAAGTAGAGGCAGCTTTCATTGCTGACTCTACTGTCCTGACCTGCAGATCTCTTGAATAGCTTGCTCTGCTGTTCCTGATGCTCATTTAGTTGGGTTTCAGAGGACTGTTCTCTTAGCAATGGAAGGAGCTCAGTTTGGGTCGAAATCGTTTGAAGGTCTGGTTTTACCTGACTGCTGGTTTCCATCACAGTTTGGGTAGATATCATTCGACTGACCGTTTTTTCCTGATAACTGGTTGCCTGTACAGCCATGTCTGTTTGTACTGAATCAGATTGATGACGAACTGTTCTCCGCTCTGTGTGTTCTCTTATGTCTCTCTGAATTTGAAGAGAAAACACTGAATTGCTGCTTTGTCTTCTCTCTGAGACTCCATTCCTCATCGTATCTTTCTGATGTCTAAGTTGAGCATTTAGTTTCTGATTTATACCAAACATCTCGTCGAGCTGTTTCATTAAATATTTCTGGACTCTCATATACTCCAATTCAGACTCCTCAAATTTGGCAAGACGTACACTTTTCTTTACTCGCTGTTTGATTATCAGGAACCTCGGTTAAATTTTCTCTTTGATTATTGTCCCTGGGCTTAGCCATAGATGGACATTTCTCCCTGTTTTTATCCAGAGTTTCCTGCGGTTTGAAGACAAAGTCCTTTTTGGTGACTGGCTGTGCTGTAGAAATCCCAGCGTTCTTGGAATAACTTTTTTTTTTCAAGGAAGCCGCCTCGTCACATTCCTTTGCTGGCATTGAAACGTTTTGGGTTTTGATATTTTCAGGAAAAAAACTTACATTTATGTGAGGCTCAGAGTTGGGGAGCATTTTCCAAAATGTCTTCATTCTGCTGCTGGGCAAATCACTTTGTTTTTCAGGCAGAGGACCGTTATTGTTGACATCGTTTTCAGTAAAAAATGTTAGATCAATACAAGCGTCTGACTCGGGGAAAGATTTCCAAAGCAGTGGCTTCTTCTTGATGCGCTTTGTCTTTCGTCTTTGTTGTTCCCGTTTTCCTTCTGTGATTCTGTGATGGATTTGTTTTCGATGACCGGCTTTGTTGCAGAATTGACAGGTTCCTCTTTACAACATTTCTTCTCCTTGGACTTACTCTCAGGTGGCTGTCTGTCCCCTTTTTGGTCCACTGTCTCCAGTGGTTTGGTGATCGATTCATTTTCAGTCATGTTCCCAGCTGTGTCTCGTTTCTTTGATTCCATGTGATATGACATGTTGGATGCAGTCAACTGATGACTTTTAGAAATATTCAGAACAGTGACGTGCGTTCAGGGGAGGCACATTCTGTTCTCTGAAGGTGAATAAAACTTGGAAATTGGTGTAATGTCCTGGTTTTCTGTCAGTGAGCTGATTAGTTAATGTATTCATGGTGTTTTCTGAATGGAGTCCGTCTACCTTCTTTCTAATCTCCCATTGATACATGTTGTTGCATCCATTTTATTAAGAAAGTTATTTGGTTTATCAGCAACATGTTTAGTCTGACACATCCGTTTATTATTATTTTTTAAAATGTATGGAAACACCTTCCCCTTCAACAGCCAGTAATGACTCACCGGGGCAAAAATCTAGTCTTGCCAGAAAGACTAAGCACTACTTCTAAAATGCTCTTTTTGTTCCACGTTATTTAATTTTTTTCTAAACATCCATCCATCCATTTTCTGCTGCTTATCCGGGGTCGGGTCGCGGGGGCAGCAGCTTCAGAAGGGAGGCCCAGACTTCCCTCTCCCCAGCCACTTCTTCCAGCTCCTCTGGGGGAACCCCAAGGTGAATTAGAAATAAAAATCTTACAATGGATGAAGATGAGCACTGATGTTCTCAGGCACGTGCAGAGGGCGGGGAGGTTAAAGGGGCTTGAGCACCTGCCCCTTTTGCTCCTTATCCCCAAGTGCCCTTTTGGTAAATGTTTTATTTATTTATTATTATTTTGTAAGCCCTCTGACACATAATTACATGTACTGAAATTATTTTGTTTTTTGTTGTATTTTTTTAAGAAAAACAACATAATGAGCCCCTCCGGTCAGCTTGTTACCTTTGACCTTTTGCCCATGACGCAGTTGCCTCTCGCACAGTGAGATAAGGTGGCTAACTGCAGAGCTCAACATAGCGAACATTGCAGATTACAGGACAGTTTTTGGTGAATTAAAAAAATAATGTTTTTGGTGAATAAAGTGGAGCAGACTGGCTACACGAGTTTTAAAGTCCCATCACTGTCTCCCTGTAGCTCAATCAATAGACTTTAAAATGCTGTTGTTAGTTTATAAATCACTAAACGGGTTGGCGCCATACATTAAAGATCTCTTGTCGTACCAACCGTCTAGACCCCTCAGGTCTTCTGGTTCTGGTCTGCTCTGCATCCCTAGAACCAAATGAAGAGAAGCAGCATTCAGCTTCTATGCACCACAAATTTGGAACAAACTCCCAGAAAACTGTAAAACAGCTGAAACACTGGGTGCCTTTAAATCTCAATTTAAAAACCCCTGTTTTGAGTTGTTTATGGCTAAATTAAGTGGGATTTTAATGTTTTTATCTTTATTTTTCATCTCTTTATCTATTTTTTCTTATTTCTTCATCTTCTTTACTGTTTATGACTCTGTGTTTAGTTTTTAAAGATGTAAAGCCCCCCAGGGAGGGCGCGGGTGCCATCCCCCCTTCTTGAAAGTGTCCCAATTGATGGCGTTTCA